ATGTCAAAAATTTCCCCTCTGACTCAGGCTAAATTAGAGTGACAGGGCATCCCTCCTCACCTCCGGCGTAGGAGGCTGCAGAACCCTGATGGACTCGAGATGACTGCAGCCCGGCACAGTAGCTGTGATGGTATTACATTTCCTTAGAGCTGCTGGCTCCTGGGGGCTGAACTCTGTTTCGGCCTGTTCATTACATTAATCTGGAAGAAGTTGTTAACAACCGTTTGCTTCAGATTCACTCTTCAATTGCAAGCAAAATTCTTTCTCTTCCTAAAACCTCTTAGTACTGATTACATCCTCTCAAGTTATTGATAGTGAATATAGGAAGGTTAAAGAGTCCGGTGACTAATGGGAAGACAAGTCAAGAAAAAGAGGGACCGGGAATCAGAATACTTTCAAGACTGTCCATTAACCCAGGAAAACAAGAACTCTGTGAGGCAGGAATGCTTAGCATCCTTGAAAAATGGGATAAAACAAAGAGAATCATTTCATGTTTGCCGTGTTTCCCTGCTTCAATAAACGAAGTGCCTCTCCCCTTTATTGTGCTTGCTCATAAACTCAGAGAAAAACAACGCTTCTTGCTACTGAGCTTGACTGCTTCATTTTGGCAGGCACGGTAATTGAGGGTTTGTGATCCTCTAAGACTTCTATTTTTTTACTGAAGACCAAAAGAAATCCAGCTTTTTCATATACTATTACTTCACAAGAGAGTGTTTTCCTAGAAAATGCAAATAGAAATGGAATTTGGTGGCACAAAAGGGAAAGGGAAAAGAACTTTCACACACAAAATGTTTTTCTTCTCAGTTTCAACTGCTCCAGTAAACTACTGAGTCACAAAGTGCAGAAAGAGTAATGATAAGGAAATATTCTAATGAATTTATTTTTAAAGAAAGATTACATCTGCTGAGTTCCCATTCAGGAGTCTTTCACTCTCATTACACAAGATTCTACTGCCTAAGTGATCCTCATGACTGTGCAGCACAGCTTTCTTCCTCTCTCTCATCACAATATTAAACAATCCTTCATCTCTTCTTTTTTCTTGTATGAAATGACATAATTTCCCTCCTTCAAGCAAGAACCTTGTACTATTTCCTATTTAAAAAACCCCATGCTATATTTCCATTGAGCATCCTTCCAATTTTTGGAAAGCAAGCTCCAAGTATCTTCTCAAATAGTACTATTGTGAGTGATCTTCAGATCCCTAAGCAAAATGCAAGTTGTAAGCCTACAAGTCCATCAGCATGGAAAGATTCAACTGGCATAAACCCAATATAAAAAAACCCACTGATTGACATTCCCATTCTGTCATGATTATGCTAAACTCAGGAAAGAACAAAGTTTATACTTGATATGATGATGTCCCCTGGAATTTCTTCCAACAAAAGCCAAAACGTGAGGCAAAATGCAGAAATTCCATTTATAGCAACATTTTAAAAAAGTATGCAGCTTTGGTTAGAGAGATAATCTTTATTGGAATTTACTGGCTTTTGCTGGTTTGCATCAACACAGAAAATGAAATGTTACAGATTGAAGAAAATTCAAATGTTATGGCCATTTGCCAGAATTTCTGCATTTATTTCAACAAGGTAGTTAAAAAACAAAACAAAACAAAACAAACAACTTTCTCTGAAAAGAACTTCTACCCTACCAAATCCATGTTGTTTGCTACATTTTTGTTAGTTTTACAATAAACTCATCAAGTAGATAATATTTTCCCAGATAGATAGACACAGAATTATGGAGATCAACAACCAAAAGTTCCCCATATTAAATGATCAGGTCTTCAAAAGTGCACATCTCCCATCAGAGCTCTTACAACAGTCAGTATGAATCTCAAAATTGTTCAGTAACAGGGAGGAATTTTCAAACCTCTCTGGGTAATTTAGACGCATTAGTCTCATTGAAAGTTAATGAGCCATGTGCTGCTCAGGCTTTCAGGTGCTTTGCAGAAAACACACCTTATGACTGGTATCCATGGTGAAAGTCATGGACATTTTAAAATTTTGTTCTGACACTGTTTACGCTAAATTCTGCTCTTAGCTACAGATGTGTAGCTTCTCTTTATGGTATATTTATCTGTCCAATGAAGCAATAGCTCCCCTTGCTCTGCTCTTTTGAAAGTCTGTCAATACAGAGCATCTGAATGCAGCTGTGCAAAGAGCTGCAATTCCTGGCCGCTAGCCCCTAGGACAGTCCCAATCCTCCATGCAGCAAAGTTGTAGGAAGCCCACTGCTGACAAATTCTGCTGCATCTTGTACAGAAAGGAATAATCCATGTGGCTAAGAGAGTTATTGAGTAACCATAGTGACTGCACTAGGATGTTAGCTCTGACACCTAACTGTAAACATAGAAAAAGCAAGACTCTTTAGTCTTTCCCTAGTTACTTATGCAACCCATCATTCTAGACACTAGAGAACTACAAGTTGCACAGAGTATTTCCTCTTTACCACAGTCTCTCTGTATTAATTTTTAAAAGATTTAAAAGGAGATGCCACTTCAAGACTACTTAAGCAAAGGTTAAATAGATTACTGAACAAGAAAGTGAGCAAGCAAGGCTCATGATTTACAATGCCTGTATGACACACGGTCTTGCCTTAGCACTGAAAAACACATTAGGATATCAAGAGAGAATCACTCAGCTTTGCAGCCCATTAAATCTGATCTTAGAGTAACCAACTCAATCAGAATTATCTTCCAAAAGCATTATATTAAAGTTGGAGAAGAGAAAGATACCTCTGGATTTCATGTTATGAATATGGAAAATAAAACTGAGAAGTAAAACAAAGCTGTGATTAAAACCCACAACAGGTATCCCATTCCTAAGACTGAAAGGAATGTGAGGTCTGCTTTCATATGAATTGCTGACTTCATGCAGGTTCAGCACCACAGAGGGTTTACCAGAAGCCAGTGGCAAGAAGTGTTCATAGCCTAAAGGAAAGGAAAAGAGGTTCACCCCTCATGGCAAAGGTCAGACTTCTGCAGGCTTATAGCTTGTCCATATACATGACTGTTCATGGGACATCTTTGTCTAGTAAAGTCCCATGAGGATGACACAGGCTCCACAGTGTCCCCTCTGCCTGGAGGATGGCCCTATAACTACCCAGATCAGTTTAGGGTCATTTGACTTGTGTCGATCTGGTTCCTGTTGCTTTTACTCTCAACCTGACGAACAATCATTGCAACCTTTGTGGGGATGTTGCTGAAGGTTGGAATTAAACAACTCCAGCCTACAGAGAAATTGGATGTGTAAACAGGATATTTAACAGTTGCTATTTTCACGGATGTGGAGAGATATCAAATATACTCTCCAGCTAACATACAACATGCTGTACACTTCATTTATATTTGCTTATCAGAATCACTACATAAATGTCATAGAAACACTTATGCTAATGATTATATTAGTATTTGTCTATTTATTCTGTAGATATCTTTTCAGAGAGTCATCTTGTCCTTTGTTCAATTCTGGAACTGATGCATTGCATGCCCAAATATTTGGAATAACATATAGAAAACATCTGGATTTAATTATATTATAGTCCTCTTATGCAGACAATGGGAATTGAATTAAGGAATATTTTGAAACCCCCACTGAGATATAAAAGTATTAGCAGCTGCACGAGAACTTTACTGTTACAATGTTTGAAAATGTTTTGTTTTACAGATCAACAGTCTGACACATCATAAATATCAATCATAACATTTAAGACATACAAACACGGAAAAAAAAATAAAACTTGCATTTCAAAACCATGTAGATGAATTCACGTTACTTAGAAGACGTAGAGTGTATCCTTTTGTTTAAAGAATGAAAATGTATATTCCATTGGCACAGAAAATATATGTTGTACAGTGGTATTAAGCAGAGAACCACATAAGGGCTTATTGTGACTGAATAGCCTGAACAAGATTTTATAGAATCTTTTTATATTGCCACCATATTGTACAAAGAGTAATTCAGCTAGAATAAATTAGCATTTTGCTTTTCATGCTTTCATTCCTTTGAAAATATTTGGGGATATAATATGAGCTTAGAGAGTCTGCCCCAAAGTATTAGATACAGACTGGATTTTCTTTCTGAATGTATTCTGGTTCCAAATGCCACTTCTTTTCAAGTCAGTACAAGTTTTGTAGTTAGTTTTCAATCTCCCAGTGGCTAAATCACATTCAAAGGCTGTTAGCACAGTAGGGGGCCAGACTTTCTCTCTGAATGTAACTATATCACTCAACAGCAGACTCATGCAATAAGCGATCTAATGTTTTCTTTTCTTTTTTTTCTCCCTCCTCTTAGTGTCTCCTTGCATTCCTGGATACCGGTCACTGCACCAAAGACCTGAACCAACAGCCACATGGACTCCACCACCATCCTTCCAGCTTTCTTTATGATGCAGAAAAAGTCAAGTCTACAGTTCACCTGATGTCAAGACAAAAGGTTCAGTTGCTAAATCCTCTGAAACATTCTGAAACATTCAAATTAACATTTTCTTATACAATATTACACATTCCAATGTGTAAAAAGCATACACAAATACAAACTTTAGAAACTAATGACACAAAATATAATATTAATCCAGTTCCTCCTCTTCCCATGAATTTCCCTCAAAATGTCCTGAAAAACATTGCCTAAAGGCAGCATGCTGTGGGAAGACAGATACTGTATCTACCATGCAAAAGAGAGCGAGCTATTAAACCCAGAAGTAATATTGAGACAAACAAAATAATGCCATAAAAGATCTGTGAAATGATGGTCTGTTTAGAAACTAGATTTATCAGGACTGAAGCTTGCACTAGCTGTTAGTGTTGGGAAACACTGACTCTCGATACCATGTGGTCAGTCCAACCTGGTAAAGATGCAGTCAGGATCTTTGAACTTACCCATAGTATCATCCTGAACAGGCTTTGTGGATTATGATATATGCCTTGCTGATGGACAGCCTGTTTAAAATAAAGGGTGGGAGAACTGCTGGGTAAGGGGCTCGAATAAACTACGCTAACTCACCCGTTTTACGAAGTGGAAAATCATCCTTGGCATCCTGTGCTCCTGGTAAAGTGTACTTGTACGGTGGCGAGGCCCCGCTCAGGGGTGGAGAGCTTTGATCCAGTGAGGTATGGTGGGCAGCCCTGAAGCAGACACAGAGAGGTCACAAATTAGCAGCACTGAGGTGACCAGCAGTAACTATCTACACATGTTGTACACATGTCTCAGCTGTGTTTATGTTCTTGTTCCTCTAAGTGTGCACAAACCACAGGCTCATGTAACCAATTTCACTTTTACAGTAAGTTATGGAACTCCTCGGGATTCCCAAGAACACGCTTTTTGCACTCATTATAAAAGTCACATAGGATAAGAGTCATGTTGACCTACAGACAGGATCTGTCACCAGTTTGGGGAACTGACCATTTTAGATTGTTGCATTTTAATATGAACCAGCTGAGGCACAGCAAAAGCCATTTAAGTCTTGTTTATTACGTACAAATAGATGTACATTGATCCAGCCTCTCCTATCAAAACGTGGGGGATTTTCAGGTCAGGGGGGCTTCTATAAAACCAACCAGAAATACTGAGTTATTATTCTCTGCTGAAAAAACCCACAACTATTTAGTGAACAAGGTAGATAAAACCTTGCATTTAAGTTCAGTTTGTAGGTTTTGTGAGCGCACCACTCTGCAGCACGTAGCACTCACGTCAGCAGAGAAGCCCCAAGCTGAAGAGTGCTTTCTGACAACTGCTGGATGAAAGAAATAGTGTGGGCAGATCTTTCTGAACACAGAAACTGCAAATTGCAAAGAAATTGCATCATTTGGCCCAGAGACAGGATTTTTTTTTTGTTCGGTTGATTTTTCTATTTAGAGGGGGACAGAGGGAAACTTTCCAAAGTTGTGTTTATCTAAACATAATTTTGCTTGGCCTTTTACAGAGACTCTCCCTATCTTTCCAATGTAGTGTGGTTAATTAATAATGCGTCTCTGTCAAAATGGGCACTACCATGAGAGGAAGTACTACTTTCCCTAGTACAGGAGAAGACATCCCTCTGCAGATCTCCTCGTTCTCATTTGTCTGAAGACTCAGAACTAAACTTGGATTATTAGTCCAGAAGTCTTACATACTCAAGAGAATTTTACATGTTATTTGGAAAAAAATTATCTCCACCAGAAACAATGTAACTATATATTAAATCATGTTACCACAATGCTCTCATTAGCTCAGAATGGAGACTCCAAGGGCAGGCCTTCACTGATTCTTTTTAAAAAGAACAAGTACTACATGAAAAATTAGTGTACCATACACATTTCTGTTTTCCTATTGAACGTCAATTTGGGGAAAATTCCAGAAATGCATCCAGAGTTCATTTTGTCAGATTGACTTATGTGTCTGTTGTATAAGGAAGTGAAAAAGGATTTAATTAGTAAAAAAAAAAAAGTAAAAACTGTAAACTCTTAAAATGTTAATATGCTCAGTACAGGACTCAACGAAATCACTTGCTTCAATGGTCTAAGCAGATTCTTATGAAGGCCAGGGGATTATCAGAATATGCAGTTTGGGATACTGAAATCCATCATGGTAACAAAAATTAAATTACCACTATCATTCTCAAAATCTTTGCAAGTTACTTACATCATATAAATTTTGCTGGAAAACAGCATTTCTTCAAAAAGAAATAAGTTTTGTGATTTACTCAAAAACCAAATAAATCAAACACAAAGTTGTTCTAAATGCAAAACTTTAAAAGACTTGGAAATATGACAGGTGAAGTTGGAAAATTTGTGACAGTATCAAGAGATAAAGCAGCTGAAATCAAAGGTTTATGCAAATCCCTGACACCATCTTGTTCTGTATAGCTCTCATCTCTTCACTGACCACCAAGTACTCTTCAATTCAACCAGAAATATTATACTTTTGGCTTTTTGCTATATTGGTTAAACTTCTACCTTTTACTGGAGGCAGACTCCCAATATCCCTCCTAGAGAAGCATTCTGGTAAGTTTTAACAGATACCTCGATAAGGCAAGGAAACAGCTTAATACTGAACATACGTGTACCAGAGCTTGGGATGGCGGCTCATGGAATGATTCTTCCCATTTGCTGGGGAGTCTTTTGTTGCTGATTTACTCAACAGGAACTCTTGAAGTTTCTGCTTCACTTCTGTACTGGCCACTGCCCCTAAGACACACAGAATTAAACATATCTTATCTTTACTTTAAAAAATTACATTTTTAAAGAAAATGAAAGCCAAAACAGAAAAAAAGAGCCTGTATCTTGCTGCTGGAAGTGTTGCAAACTATAAAAAGTAGTGGTGGAGATCAGTCAAAATGAGATAAATTCAGATTAAATGTTTATCTATAGAAGACTGAAGTTGGCCATAACCCAGAAATTCAGTGAAGTCATAAGGAATATTTCAACAGCAGATGAGGCCATTTATCCAGGGCCAGATGTATCTGAAGAATTTAAATTATTTCCTAATAATTCCCAAATACAAAACCAAGGATAGAACTAAAAAGATAGTGACAAAAGGTCATTCTGAGTTTGCAGTACAGAATGTTTTATCCTTTAGTAATGTAATAGGAATAGCACAGCAGAACTGCCCTCTGAACACTGTCTTGGTTATGAGCAGAACATGGCAGAAAGAGCCAGCAGTCAGCCTTTTTGTTCAAACCACTTAAGAGCATGTACCTGTGATGTCTGGAAGACAGATCACAGCCTGAAATATGAGTCATAGTTGATAACTCTACTCTTACTACACAAAAACGACAGAAGGACCAAAATGCCAGGAAGACACAGTGCATTTTGACCCTTCTTGGTGGCTAGCTCAATAGAGTACCGTAAGTAGGGCATGTCAATGTCAGGTTAAACTGACAATTCCTACTTTCACCATGGGGCATGCTTTTATACTTGCAGCCATAATACTCTTAGAAAAAAAATAAAAAAATTTGTTTTTGATAAACTGTGATAAAAAAGGGAAGAAAAAGATGTTTCCTTGAAAGTAGCAGCACTAAGGCATACTGATACTCTTGAGTATTTGGTTACCCAACTCTGACACGGCACAGCCAGCTGGTGAGCATGTCCCCCTGGGACTCAAATCCCATAAAACACCTCAACTACCCTTCAGCTTCAGACCCTAACTCCCCTCCCTGCACCCTCCTTTGCCTTTCTACTCATTACATGGATCATCATCAGCAAACGCTGGGGCTGGGCCCAGCGGGTCACAAGTGCTGCTTGGCTGCCTGCTACATATTGAACAGACACCCAGCAAACCAAACGGAGAAAGGAACCACTGAATTCACATCACTGCTCGTCCTTCGGTGGGACCGCTAATAAAGCCCAACTGTTTCTACGGGGGCTGATTTTTCATACCACTTACAGGAACCTTTTGTTCCTGTGGTTTCTGCCACCCTCCCACTGCTAGGTCAGTAGGCTGGTGATGCTTTCATGGATTCATCATTCGAAGTACTGGAAGCAACATGGACACCTTAACTTCTAAAGTCTACAATATGGTACAACTGCAGCTGTTGAACTGATACATTTTTCCACCAAGAAAAAAGTCAGGAGCATATGATCCCCATGAGCATAACACACACCTCTTTTATGCTTCAGTCTTTGTCAGTGCTCATTTAACAGGGCAAGTAACAATACCTGCTCATGGCAGCTTCAGTTTCAATACTTTCACAATGTACTTCTACAACCGGATTTTTAAACCAACCTCACTAAGGAGAATTATTTGTATCTGTCTCCCTCTAGTGAACACCAAATTCCAACAGTATCCTTTACATCTGTCATTTGCCTTAGAGCTATGTATGAGCTAGAAATAACTGTTGGTTGGGCCTCACGAAATGACATCAAGAACAAACACAAGGCAGTTTGAAAAAGTACTAGCAAAAATAATCAGAAGTCTCAGCCAAAGATATTCTTAAATATGTCATTATATTTTCAATCTCGAAACAATGCTCAAATTAGTTAATCGGCAAGTAATCTGATTTTTTTCTGTGTTATAGTGCTTTCTGTATTGGGAAATAAGTTCATCAGGAAGAAGTTCTCAAGTGAAGCTTTAGACTTTCAAATTCCCTCCTTTTTTTTTTCTAAAAAAGAGATAGATTCTTGAGAGGCATGTACACAGGTCTGTCAAAATGTGCTTTCCTACAGTTCTCCAAGTCTGCACACAAACCAGTAATGCGTTTCTGTGGGTGCAGCAGGTGGCCCTGCCTTTCTGCAGGCACAGCCTCGACTTCTCTAGTTGTGTATTTCGCACAGTAATAGGCTTGCTTCAGGTTCCTGTTCAGTGTCCATTTTGGCTGGGAGACGGCAAAGGGAAGTATATTAATTTCTTATTAAGTCATGGTACTTTGGCTCTTACTTTCTCGGCCTCTTTCTTTGCTTCGGAGAGGAGGAAGCTGCTGTTCCCTGCGATGCCTCTCCAGTTCCTGCTCTTGTCTCTGCTGCTCCAGTTTCTGCTCTTTTTCAAGGAGTTCTTGCTGTTGTTTAATGGCTAGGAGTTCCTGTTGTAACTTGCACAGAACAAAAAGACATGAGAAAGTGCAGTTTGCACTGTTTTCTAGGTCAGTCCTGGCTAAAACAACCCCCTTGAATAACTGAGTATCAGTGCTTTCTTTTGTGCTTACACCTCTTTTCACCTCTTAACCAACTTTCCCCAACCTTTTAAGCAGGATACGTGACTGTCACTAAACTGAACTCTAATGTCAGGTAGCAGACTGCTGCTCTGGTTTCACTTCTTTCTCTTCTGGCAAAAATGCCTGGAAACTGCACAGAGTTCTTTGCCAGTGCATCACCCAACTCTGGCTGCTGTGCTCTGCTGGGTTTGTCAGCTCCATCAAGTGGAAGTTTAGCACAGAAGCATAATGGCAAGTAGATCAGAAGGAAAAAATGAAAAGAAAGGCAAGATCATAAATTCCTAGTCAAAACCCATTATAACAATTCTACCAGAGTGAATGTAATCCCATAAATCATTTTATTTTTACATTACATGAGGCAGCTCAGAGAAGAGTGAAAACACAACACTTTCAGGGCCTGCCTCCATTTTACAAATGCAAATATTATGCACTTGACTATCAATTTGAATGGCGTGCATAAACTCAAACAGTAGCCCAAAAAAGCAGTCTTATAATATACTTAAAACTGCACATACATAAAAGACAGCCATATTGAAGTCTGGCTGAAAATCCAGCTTTGTAAAATAAGTAGTTTGATTTTCTGTGGATGTGGTAGCTTCATGAGCTTCATGATTCTCATAGTACTGCCTTGGTCTGCTGTGAGCAACTTACTGGTAGGTTGCAAAACCATCCAGTTTTGCTTGAAAAGGCTTTTATCACCCAAATACAGAGAAATAAGCACTCAAACACCATCTTTCTTTCAGTCACAGTAAACCTTTCTGGCACATTCCCTTTTCATGTCTGCCTAAGCACACTCAGTTTGCGGACAAACTGAGGGATAAATGAAAAATGTTGCTACCTTTATGTGCTCCTGGAGCTGGGCCTGATGCTGGCGGGTCAGGTTTTCATGCTGTTTCTGAAACTCTGCAATCAGCAGTTGTTTCTGAATTTGCTGCTGCTGCTGGATCAGAAGTAGTTCCTGCTGTAGTTGCTTTTCACGCATAATTGGGTCCACCATGGGAACCATCATCCTGAGATCAGTTCGCAAGTCTAATGGTGAGATAGGCTCTAATCCCACGGGAACCTCCGACTTTACATCCACTGCAGGAAGAAAACAACAAAATGTATATATATTAAATATAACTGGAGGAGAACAGAGATCATTCCTACAGGGGAAAAGACCAGTTTCACTCACGGACTGCTTCAACGTACAGACCTAACAAAATACGAATGCAATCTACACTGTATGCAAACTTCAGACATTCCTACTAGCAACTGGAGATTTTACGAATTATTTTATTACTTTCCATTCTCTGCAAAAATACTTCCAGATTAATATTCTGCTAAATAGACTAACTCAGTTTACAAAACCACGTCACAGCCTAATGGGGCAATATTTAGGGAGAATCTCCTAGGCACTATTAATGCTTCACAATAAACATGCAGGGCACTTCTTCAGTGTAAGATGAAGGCCTTCCAGTCCTCACTGCACTGCAAGAGATTTTCCAAAACTAGCATGTAGATTATCTGAGGATGGTGTTACACATGAACAGCTACCCAATGCTACATAGCTACTGCATGGAAATATACCTGGCAAACACATGGGAATAACACATATAAAATTGTAAGAAAATAATTTGACACACAAAACAAGATGTTTTAATACAGCTTTTTGAAAAGTGACTGCCATGCTTGGAGTGGATTAGACATAACACACTATAAATGGCATGTAAGAAAAATAAAACATCTTGAATTATTTGCATTTGCTGCAGCAATGGTATATATTGTTAATCCAGCACTGAATTACTTAATGAAGAGTCCTGTGGTTTTCTATTGCCTTATTTAAATCAAAGGGACTAAAAAGCAGCAGAAGAGAGAAATTTGATGATTTTCACTACAATACTTGTAAAGCTCAGGTTTTCACATTAAATGAAGAGTCAGAGTTTATCTGTTTCAAAAGTATAAAAAACTAGCAAGTAACGTTTCTACAAGAGGAAAATAAATAGTAGCTGAGGGTCTCTGCTAAAGTTCAGCAGTTCTGATTCCATCCACGAGAGGACAGTGGAACACAAACACATTAACTCCTGTTCCTACTGCTCTACTATCTTCATTGGAAAATAAGATTATTAACTGAAAACAAACATGCTGTCAGAAATGACTAGAGAACAAGATTTTAAGCATATTTTCTCCTTTTGCTCTGCTACAGCTGTATTTGTTTTCAAGGAGAATACCAAAACGACACAGGAATATTCTAGCAAGCAGGAACAGTAAAAATGAAGCAGCAAAAGTTGAAACTGTAGCAAATAGAACTGAATTCTAACTGTACGATCAAATCTATTAGTAAAAAGTTTTATAAAAGGAAGAGACAAGGCACCAAATCTCTTTTACTGATAATATTATTTTCTGCTCAAAATTCTGGAAACATACAATTTTCTGGGCTTTTTTTTTTTTTTTTTAAATCCTAGTAACTGTGATTGTAAACCTCGGAGCATAATTTGCCTTCTTAACCTGCTATCCCAACAGAACGATTGTGTCTAAGTGCTTACTTTTGTTCTGAGACTAATCACTAAATTATAAAAAATCACCTTTAACTTACAAAAACTACTCTTGATTATAAATAATTGCCACAGACCAAGAGAAATGGACAGGCAAACCTCCAGTCTTTCATCCCATTTATTCAGCAGCAATCCACATTCCATTTGTCTAGACTAAATATAGCCACGTTTATACAAGAAATCAATAGTGCTTGCAGAGAGCAGAGCAAAAACATGAATATTTCATCAAACTCAGAGAGAAATGGCAATCAGCAAACTGACAGCTAACCGTGTAGGCTGACCAGCCCTCCAGATAAGTCTCCGGTACTTGGACAATGGCTCATTGCCTGCAAGTCACAATCTTATCATCAGCACTCTTCTATTTTTAACATTAATTGCATTGTAGGTGACAAAGGCTTATCATGTTTAAAGTGGAGAGATGGATTTTCTTACATCTTCTGTGACAGGATAATAAGCCTTACTAGGAGCAATAATAGTAACCGGAGCTCGGCAAACCCTGCAGGGTCTGGTTTGCAATAGTGTTTGCAAACTGAACCCTGCAGGGTTTGGTTCACAATAGTGTTTGCAAACTGAACCCTGCAGTTTATTTTGCAGATACTGGCTAGAAATCAAACCCTACAGGTCTGCCCAGTGATTCAGCCTGATTATACTTCCTATCTCTGACAAGCATCCCACTTCTTCATTTTCAGAGCACTTCTCACGAGGGTAGGCCTCCAGATTTTTCTAACAATGGAAATTTCCTTCCAGTATTCATAAAAGGTACAACTGAAATCAGGCTCAATTTGGTAAAATACACATTTTCAATAATTTTCACACACTCAAATAATAAATCTAGTGCTGGAATATCTACTTCATCAAGTTCAACTTTACCTCATTCCTTAACGTGGGGTAAAATAAACATTAAGATAGGTTTAGAGACTTGAATCCATAGAAATCAATACATAATCTTTCATGTCATTTAAATGCCAACGTTTACTGACACGTAAAGACAAGCATTTATATCCTGGCATAAATATTGCTATCAGTAAGGTTACCGCCAAGACTACTACTAACTGCTTACATAGGAAACACTTACTTTTGGGGGTAATTACCATCTTAAAACTGTAATAGCTAATAGTTAGATGAGTAATAGTCAACCTCATCAACAAAATTATTCTAAACAAAGTAACTGCAAAATCACCAATCAAACTGAGGGGTTTGCTACTGTCTGTTAGGCAGTCCTAATGCCACAGACTGTTCACATTCTCCTTACTTGTTACCAGTTAACAAGAAAGAGACAAAGCAGCCCCATGGAGCTATATCAGTGTGAAAAACGTGTAACGGTGCAGACAAGCAGAATCAGTATCTTTAAAAGCTTTAACTTCTAGCTGGAGCATCGTCCTCCCCATCACCCCAATGTAATTTTAAGTCTCAAAAGAGCAAAGGTGATACAGGATATTTATTCTCACTGGAGCTTTTTATGTTTTTTCACTCCCTCTACACAAGAATATATGTATTTTTCAGGTAGAAAAGGAATGTCCTAATCAGTACTCTCAATTTCCAAACATCATGAGAAGCAGTGGGATGTAAGACTTTAACAACAGGATTCACCAAGATATAAGCCAAAGAAGGAAAAGGATGGATAACGAAAGAAAATATTAATCAGAGCTTAATAAAGGCTAACTTCACTTTAAGGTGCCTTGTTTTGCAGGATTTCCAGTATCACCAATGGAGCTATGTTGTAGCAGGCACAATTCAGTGCAGGACCCTGCCTGCGCTCTCTCCACTGCGGTCTGGAGCAGATCCTTCCCAACAGCTCTGCTGACTACAGAGCAAACTTGGGATTCCTCTCTAAGGTTAAATAAAGACAAACTCTCTGAGCTCATGTCAGCTGCGGTGAATACAACAGTAGGCTGCAGAATATTAACTAGAAACGTTACCGAAAGCTCGGTGATTCCAGGAAATATGCCAAAATTTGAGTGGAAAAATATTTAATTTTCAGCTACAACACCCTGCAAAAGGCATATGTATTTATTTTTCCTATAAATACTCAATTTCCTTTATCTTGAAACATAACAACAAAAATAGACTCAGAAGAACATCCATATCAATTATATTCCATAATGGCACTTCCCACAGTGCTTTTGACATTCTGTGGAAAGAAAATAAGATACTTGCAAAACGTCATGCTTGTTGAGTATATTCAGATGCTTGAAGCATATGTAAAAAGAGGTAAAAGAGCTTGTTTTAACCCTGAGGCTTTTCTTTTTGAAACCATTGCTTAAAATGGGAATCGCTGAAAAACTGTAAATCTCTCAACTAAGAGATGGCATTTCAAGCTTTGTTTCTCGTGACTAGTTTCAATTTCTGGTGTATTAGAATACACAAATCTTTTGAATCACAAGCGCTAAAGGAAAATATCAGAAAATAAAACAGCCCACTTTCTTACCATCGTCTGCCAAGAGGGGCAATCTTCTTTTTGTGTTGGCAGTTACCTTTCTCGGCAGACATTTCTGTCATCTTTAAAAATAGCAACTTAAACAAGGTATGATGCCATCCGCTGAACAGTCGCCATTCTTTATTGAGAGGCAATGAAGAACAATTCTAGTAGACTTGCTTACCAGAACATCTAGTACATTTATGATTCTTATATTAGAGAAACTGTGTGAACTTGCTGGCACTGCAGAGATTCAAGCTAACCCTTTCCCAAAAGAATTTTTTCGTTACTCTGTTGGACTGGGACAGTAAGAAAGGCTGGAGAGAAGAACAGGGTTTGAAGCTGGTGAGGCTCTTTCTCCTGCCTTGGTCATCCAAGTCAGCCTTTTACTGGAGAAGCAGTTAAGGTTTATGAAGTGAGCAAGGCGGACTACAAAAGCTGGAATGCTAAATTAAAATTACATGTGACAAGAGACAGATGCAAGCTCCTCCAACCAGCAGTTTCAGTATTCGGCAATAAAAGCATATTCCTGAAAACACACCAAAACAAGTAAAATTTAGAAGAAACATTCTGCCAAGAAGCGGCCACACCTTACCCCAGCCATCAACTCGGTGAAATATTACAAAGAAAAGAGAGAATGGGAGAGCTGTTTATACTAGTGGTACTCTTATTGAACCCTGCTCTACAAAACAGAGCCCACCTAAAGTTATTATTAACTTGTACAGTACTTTTCATATTTTTCATATGCTTTTCATAAAACAAAAACAAACCAAAACAGTTTTGTGTATTTTAGTATAAAAGAAACTGCCTTCATGTGGCCTCTTCATTCAAAAAAGGTGAAAAACCTTAATTTTTGCACGATTAGCCATCAGTCAATCATGACATAATCAGAGCACTAGGGAATTTAGAAAAGAGCTCTAAATGGTGGAAAGAGTGGAAGATCCACACCACTCCAATAAAGACAATACTTTAAATTTACTATCCAGTTTAAACCTAGAATTCTCCAGAGTTTTGTGCCACCAGATTCAGGACTTGAAAAGCACTGATAGCTGAAAAGCCATAGCAGAGCCTTTGAACGTAGACCGAAAAAAAATTTTGAAAAGATTGAGAAAATGAAATACTGTAGGAGG